TATTTCGACTGTAGTATCTACAAGCTGCGAAAGAATTGACCTCATTTTATGTTTTGTTATATATATTTTGTAGCCTGTATAAAATTACGCACATCTATGTAATGTAATCACCCGACGCCTTTTTAATTGGAATAAAAATATATTAGAAATCTGTTTATCTTAAAATACTGTTAAAAAATATGTAGTATAACAGTTGCAAACACATGCAAACAATTTGCAGAATACTTTATTTATTTAGATATATCTTATATATTTATCAAACATCTTTAAAAAATTGCGGACTACCTGTCTGTAATTTCTACGATCCAGTGCCATACGATGATTCCAAAAGTGTTTAAAGAAATGAGGCAAGATTTCATCCTTTATGTATTGAGCTTCCACACCGTCCGTTGCACAACATTGTTTGACCACCTATGTCGAAAATTTAGTTTATAAAAAGTGCTAACAATTATCCTTGAAATCTCAAAAACTAGGGGAATCCGTAAAAAATATAGTTTTACATATATATATATATATATAAAATTAATACGTTTCGTTTTACCTTTAATACGATCTTTTTCATTTCCTCGTCGGGCGACTGGAATTCACGTATAAGGATTAACATTACTTCCCTAGTATAATAATTCGCATACTCCGCGTCCATGAGAGGGATGAGATAACCGATAGCTTTTAGGAACGCTGCTAGACCTTTACCTCTATGCGTGCGGATACCTTTCCACAGAGGTTTCAGTACCGAGTCGAAACTTTCGATACCATACGGTGTTGCGGCTTCAGCCAATGCGGCGATGGCTAACGCAGTAATGGTTCGTACTTTCTGTTGTTCATCCACCAGACCTGACATTTTTCGTTTCATAATTATCAGAAAGAAAATAAGGCTTTATGAGTATGACAAACACATGCAGATTACAACAAATTTAATTTTAAACAGATTAGCTATATAATTTATCTATTTACCATGTTCAATAATCTCTACTAAGCTCTTCAAATGTGGCAGAATTGCACAACCCATGAGAATAGCTATTTGTTGCACGATCTTGATACCAGTGTGTCTCGCTTGCCAGGATTTCTTGCTGCGACAAACGGCCTTTAAGAACGGAAGTAATGAAGGGATTCCAAGAGCGGACGCGACAACAGCAAATGCCCTGGCAGTTGTGTTGCGTACGTATTCATCGATATTATCGATGTCAGGCCTCATCGTGGAAATCATTGTCGCCAATCCTGCTGCCTTAGCTAAGTTGGAAATTATTTCTCTGCCTTCGACACGGGCATAGTAGTCTTCATCGATTAACAAAGGTTCGATAACAACTAGAATCTAAATATTGATAGTAGATGATAGTAGATAGTAGTAAAACCGTAAAGTAAAATGTACAGTAAAATGTATAGCAAAACTGCTAAAATGTATAGTAAATTTAACATATTGCGGACGGATGACGAGATATCTTGTCTTTCCTATTTCGTAGTTAGGGGCCGGATGACGAGATATCTCGTATTTCATATTGCGTCGTTAG